CCTCCTCTCCCCCCCCCCCCCGTCTCCCCTCCTCCTTTCCCTCTCCGCCCCGATATCCCGATCGCGGAAGTGCGCGCGAATCTCTCACGCGTTACCACACGATTGACGGCGGCGGGTCGTGGATCCTGCGCGGGATCGAGCGAAAAGAGTTCGAAGGAAAAAGAGAAGAAGATAAAGAGGCGCTCGTAAGCCGCCTGTGTAACTTCGGCGAGTTCGTGTCCCGGGAACAATGCGGTAAACAGCTGCCTGTGTTTATCCGCGTGACAACGGGAGCGCGACAGTGACGCTGACAGTTTGACAGCTGACGTGTGAGGTAAGGTACATTCTTTCTGCTTTACACGGCGGCGTGCCGGGAATCGCGAGAGCTCGTCGAAATTACACAGCGGTTCGCTCGGTCCCCCTTCCCCCTTCCGGCTTAATCGCGAGAGACCCCGTGAAAATCCGCTTACAAAATAATAATCCGTTGTTGTTGAGAAATAATTTACTATCTCGCTTAAAAATATAACGGCGATAGGGCGCTGATTTCTGACGTTTAATAAGACGAGAAAGATGTACGCTCAGCCGAGAATACGTCAAAACGTATTAATTCCCTCCGAAGTCTTGCCAGAGATACAGGACGTTGCAAAAGGTAGGCTCGCGATGGGAAAGCGAGTGTGTGAGAGATAAAAGATGAAGTGTCGATTACTTTTTTGTCCTTTTTTTCTAACGGTCTGACGAGTGTGATATTTACATCCGAATAATAAAAGTTTTGTTATTGTACAGAGTAAAGTATGTAAAGAGAGACACGGCATGTCGCTTGTTTGTAAACCGGAATAATAGTCACACGTCGACAATCTTTTCCTGTTATTGAGGCAATACGTATCTTCTCTCACGCGAACGTATCTCGGCGCGATAACCAACAACACGTTGCACATTCTCATCCGACCTGCGCTATCGTATATCTGTCGTACATCGTAGGACTTTTCCTGCCTTCAATTCCTCGCGTCGAAGAGAAACATTGATTAAAAAAAAAAAAAAAAAAAAAAAATCTGAAAAATCTCCCCTGAAAATCTTCACGCGCCGTTTTTCTCCTCGGTGGTCCTTGGCCTTATCTCGCGGAACACCCTATATATCGGCGCTCGAGACCGCCTTTTCCGGGGCGCGGGGGAACGGGACGGGGGGAGGGCGGCCCTTCGTTTAATTGCGACAGACGGTCGGCACAAGTTCGAGACGGCGGTCAATCATTTTATTTGCGAAATGTTAAGTGCCGCGCCGACACGCGGTGGTAATTTGCTCGATGCCCGCGCGCGGCGATTACGGCGATTACGGCGATTACGGGCCGGCCGTAAGGAGGATAAACCGTACCGACCTGAAAGCGCGGCGTAATCGCGCGAGAAACGGGAACCGCAATTTCCCGAATGCCGCATATAATAGGGGAACGTTATACGGAAACGACGAGATGCGGATTCGTGCAATCGCGGCGATCCTCGGCGCTCCGTGCGTCGCCCCGTGTCTCCCGGATGCTGCGAAAACCTCTCGGAGTCATCTCTCGCGGAAGTTCTCTTCGTTTCGATTTCGGAACGGAATCTCTCCCTCTTTTTTATTCTCTTTTTTTGAACGGAAAAAACGAGAAGTCCGAGTGCAAGCCCTCGGAAAACGCTCAACCGAAAACGGCAGAAATAGTTGGCGAATTATTCATTGTTCCTATTAAAAAGATAAGACGATAGAAAAATTTGATAAAAGGACTTCGACACGGAGTGACGCAACGCGCCGACCTCGACGTCGATTTCGAGACGCGTCGATAATTTTACGCTCGAGTTCGTTATTATTACGCTATTCCTGGATCGCGTACGGAATAAAGTGAAGGAAGGCACTTTATCGGTGGGTTATCGAATGAAAGCAAATAATCGCGTGTGTCCGACAAATGGGTCAACTAATGAGATAATATTCCTCGTTTACTATTAACTTATGCCGCTGTCTACTGTCTACGGAATTTACACTTCTTCTTCGGTGTTTCTTCCGCGAACGCAGCAGGAAGACTTGTCATTTCCACTCTCGGTAAACATTTCCTCGAATCGCTCGCTACGATATCGCGAGCGATAGGCGACGAAGAGGAATGTAAGTCACGAAATTTTCCGTGCCACACGCTACCTACCTACGGTAGCACGTATCCCTTTTGTGATACGATATTTTCGAGGGTGGCCGATCGTCGGGAATGGACTCGAGATTAAAGTATCGATAAAAGTCGAGACAATTGTGACGCGGTTATGCAAATACAATGCGCTACAAGCGAGACGGAAATATAATTAGATCTCTCGATGACCCGCCCGAGATACAATTCCGTCTACATGTGGAGAAAAAATGCCGAGTAACCTAGCAATAAAGTTTATGATTGAGTGACGCTCTCTCGCGAAAGTGGATAATAGCCGTAACTGTATCATTAACGAGACGCGCGGCGTGCACACGGCATTATTCATCTCTCGTTCATTTAATTGACAGGCGTAACGTTCGAACAGAAACGGAGCTGGACGATAAAACAACCGAGATCGCCGGTACGGGGGTTTATCGGCGTTCTCCCGATTTCCTCGCGAAGGTGGTTGACTAATCGACCGATTCTTCCCGCAATTCACCCCTCCAATTCGACCCCTTGACAATTCGGCTCGTCTGTTCCGGAAGCAGAGATTATTACGTCACAGTCTTATCTTTCACGAAACGATCGTGAGCGAGATTCTTCAAAGAAGACCCTGTTTTTCACGTGAAATTATACATTGCAAGTTACATGTTTCGCGCTGATGAACGCGGAGAAAGGCAGAAAAGAAAGAAAAGAGAAGAGAGGAGGAGAGGTGAAAGACGAAAGGAGAGAAAGAGATAACGATCCAGCTACGCGTCTCGTCACGCGTAATCGGACGCAGCCCGGCCGATTATTTTTCTCGTTCTTCCCCCCCGCCGTACTTCTTCTTTCACTCACTTGCGCTTTCTCAATTGCTCCGCAGCAATAATCCTTTATTTACTGGTCGGCGGCGACATGCTGCCATTCCAAAGTCTTCGCACACAATTACCCGCGTGTGTTATCATCTCACGACGCCGCGGTGGCTGCGCGACGACGCACGCGTGCACGCGTGCGTGCGTGCGTGCGTGCATGCGTGCGTGCGTGCGGCGTAAAGAGAGCGAAATTTGTCCAATCAGTAGCAAGTCGAAAACAGTTTTATCCAGTCCCATGTAAATACGAGAACATTTAATGCCTACGGTATACACACGATGCCACATACAGGGTGATTCATAATTACGTGCCGGTATCTCTGAGCGAACTTAAAACGAAAAAAAATTATTACAAATATTTTATTTTCGGAATTGCGATACATCGTATATAAAAATATTTGAAATTTTGTACACTTTTTTTCAACTATTTGAATTTGTCGATCTCAATATGAAGCCTTGTGTGGGATCAATGTCTTTTTTCTTATCTCTTTTTAGATAAGATCCAAAGCGTTTGTATGATAGAAGAGAGTAGACATCGTAAAAAAAAAAAAATTAAAAACATTTTCTATAGATGCACTGAACATCTTGTCTTCTTTCTCATAGTGGGACTGGTTTCTCACCGCAATGCCATATATTTCGCCTCGCTCTTTAATTATTAGATATTTATTAGAGTTTCCATTCAAAACCCGATTTCGATCGCCGACACTAGTTGAGCGAGCCAAGAATATTCTATTTATAAAATAAAACAGGTTTTAATAGGACGCAAAAATTTGTAAAAAGTAGATAAGTTAAGAAAAATTAATAGAAATTAATTTCATATAAAATCATTAAATTTATACTTATTATAATACTCAACGTTGTCCAAGTGGTTTTCTTATCTTATCGTGTGAGGACAAAGGATTTGTGAGGACAAAGAAATAATTCCCATCGCCAAACGAGAACTAGGATCATAATTTCCTTGACACTTCAGAGTGTTTCTTATTTTTCAAGATATTCGCGATTGTTTGTGTCTATCCCACAAATCCGAGTGAGAGTCCGCTGATGAATCAAGGGTCGAATTAACATTTAAAATGCATTTAAGACTTTTTTATCGATTTTACGTGCGTCCATGTAAAATCAGATAGGTTAAATGTTGAGTGAAGGTAAACAAAGATCAGAGTCACGTTATTAGGGAAGAATGCGGCTCCGTCGGAACGCGACGATCGCGTGCACCAACTCCACGTTCCTCGGCGGATACCTTGAAAAGACTCTCATTGCCGGCGGGGGACAGGGATACCGTGCCAACGAGATCAGACGGAGTGTTCACGTAGCGGTGCGCTTAATTAAAGTCATTAATGAGAGGGAACAATGTAGCCGGCCGGGAGGCTTCGGGACGCGTCCCGTGTATACGGAAGCCGCCGCAAGAAAATGCCGTGAAATGCGGCGCCGCTCGTCTGCCCCCTCCGTTCGGGTGTTTTCTCCCCCGACGAAAATCACGTGTTTTTACTTCGGCGCGTCCTCGTTGTGCGCGACGAGCGATTTATTGCGATTTTTCTGAAAACGGCATAATTATCTTAATCGCGCTCTTTATTTACCCAGAATAAATAAAAGGGAGAGCTCCAAGGATGTGTTGGGAGATACAGCGATAAAATGAACGCGAATAAAATGGATTGTACTTAAAACAGATTCTGACCTCAGTTACACAGTTTAATGCGAACAACCGGGAGGGAGGGAGGAGGGGAGCCAGGAAGGAATTCAAGTTCAATGTTCGGCCTCAAGTTGGCCGGAGAATTCGCAGTGTAATCTTTTCTTCTCGTGTCCGCACAGTCCGCGCAGAAGAAGACGCTGTGACATTGTTCTCGCGTTTGACGCTATTTGACTTCGTTGACGCATTAACGTTGAATCGGTGTCGGGCATATATATATATAGACAGATCCTTCACCCTCGGTTCAGTACGGCATTGCGGCACCCGCACAATTACACACTGGTTATCGTTTATATTATTTTCTTCCCGATCCGTGTAACAGCTCCGATGCGTCAGCGGCTCAGAACCAACGAGCGAGCGAGTGAGCGAGGGAG